TTGTAATATAAATATATATTACATATATTATATATATTTAGCAAAAATATAAAACTAACCTCTCTGAGTCTCGTAAAATCAATCCAAAGTGGGGTTACGAACCTATGTTGACATGTGATAACTTTTTATAAAAGTAAACAAGTAGTAACATCATAATCTGAGTATAAAATACTCAGCTCACTTCAAATTCAGTTTAACTTGTGTATACTGGAAAATAGCTATATAGTCTATTGAAGATGGGTAATTGTGCGCATTTCAAACCGCCTGCGCACAGTTACCCGCCATGATCTGACTCTATATGAAATACAATTACTTCAGTACTAGTTAACCAAACTTAATAAATAACGGGTCGAAAGGCGCACATAATAACGTACTTTAATAACGTATGCAACTTTAAACCAACAAATTAAAAATACGGACTTACCATCTTATTTTCTGAACGCTGAAATAACAAGAAAATGTATGTTTTCACTTTTTTATCTTAATCAATGTACTTACGTCATATCTTTTGTGGTTATAACTTAAGAGGACGACCTCCTGCGTAAAAATTTCATCACAGCGATGTCTCCATCTATCGGCAAAGTACCAAACCAGGATGCGCACAATTACCCGCTGCGCACAATTCGCCCACTTTCCCCTATTTTTAATATATTTCATACACTATTTATTATCTTTATACATCTTTAATTTTATATTGTGACTAATTATTTTACTAGGGACTAACACACTGACGCTTAATAATTTAGAAATTGACGAACATCTTGTCGACATGTGAAATTTTATTTTATGGCCAGTTAGGTGAGTTGTTTTGACTAGAGTGACGATTTTACTCAATTTTTTTATTGTTCTCGTAATTTATTTCTAACTTGATTGTTACCAGAACTCCGGATAATTTCAAACAACCGGTCATCCAGCCGTTGGCGAGTGATTTCCGTTTCTCAGCAAAGCATCTCACTGGCTATCATTACTTTATGTATAATTTTTCTATCTTTTTGACTGCTTTCGTCGAATGTAACATCTATTGTGTGTATACCTGATGAAGGCTCAATCATGAGACCAAAACATGTCATATTTTAATCGATTATAGAATATTTTATTAATTTTTGATTTTTCATGTTTTAATATATTTTATTATATTTGACTCTTATGTGCCTTTTATTCTTCTCGTTATTGTAAATAACATTAATTGAGACAGCAAAAGGATATGTGTCAAATAAAAAATATAATGGGACAACCAAATTCATATTTAAAATAAACTTAGCAACGAACTATGATAGCATCGATTAAAAAACTTCATAGCTTGAAGACATAATATACGCAACCTATGGATATCGTTACATATATTTTGTTAACATCATATTTTCATAACGTGTGGTCGAGAATATAGAAATCGTAGCGGTCACAGGGTCTTAAGTCGTAGAAAATTAACCAATCACAGTCGAATATAAGAAGAATAATCAATGATTGGTCAATTTTCTATGACTTAAAATCTTATGATTTCTATTGTAGACCCCGTATAATGCTCAAGGTGGAATGATTAATCATTCCTTATTGTTATGTTGCTGCCGTTTTGCCGACAGCATAACGTACCGCTATATACTGCTAACCGTTTTTTTTTTAAATTTCGTCAACTGATTGCATGGATAAGCAATTATATTGTTGCATTTGTAACGTGTACTATTTTTATGTCAGCAAATGTATGCCAAATATGTAAGACAATTCATACAATGCATCAGTTTGTTCAATATGTTAAATCACGTTTGATTATCTTCGCATTAATAAAAGATTCATCACACGCTAGATCATAATTATAGGATGGATTGGGATAATACTATTATTCTTGATTCCGAACAATCTTTTTATAAAAGATTGGTCTCAGAGATGATACATATCAAAAGACAAAAAATGGGTTTAAATAAGCAGAGACACAGAACGCTTTCCTGAAATCTACCTTCCTATCCTTGGAAATATCCCCTCTACTCACCAATAGTTCTTTCCCCCTCTACTCTTCTTCCCTCTCCTTTCCTTACACAATTTTATAAAGATTGTCGCTTACTACGTTGTCATCACATTTTTGTCAAGAATAGTTCTTTCCAAATTGTGGCCAGAACTTGATTTAATTGTACACTATATCTGCGAATTTACTTTTTCGAGAACTCGTGTCACTAAATACGTGGTAAGCGATTTCAGCTACGAATCTAAATCGATTCTTTTTATTATTAATAGGTAACGTTATACAATATATAAAAAATTTTTGTTTTTTTTTTCGATTTTTAATTAGAATTTGGAAATTACGTATTTCACACTCGAAGTCGGAAATAACTATTAGAAAAGGACTTTATTTTGCAATATAAATTTGTTTCATATGTGACTGTAATTTGGCTTTTTAATTTTTGGACTGAATTGTAACAACTCGTTACATAAGCGAATGTTAAATTTTGTCACTATCTATTCTGGACTATCGATTTATTGTCAAGTATTTTTTTATTTTTTGTAACATTCTTTTATATACTCGTATTGTACTGATGATCAAATATTGATCGAAACGTTTATTTTTCCTTGTTAGAATTTGAAGTATATGACTTTTGCTAAAAACATCTATTGTTGCGTGGCTGTATGCTCTTTATTGTTTATATTAATAAAAGATATTTTTGTCAAGTTAAATGTAAAGTTGTAAAAAACATTAATGATTTTAATGATATTTTGCTATAGATTACAGAAAAATGGCAAATGATCGTTTAGATATAGTAATATTTGGCGCCACTGGACATACTGGAAAATATGTAGTGAAAAATGCAACTCATATGTATAAGGATCAGAAAATGAAGTTCGGTATTGCTGGTCGTAGGAAAGAAGCTTTAGACGCAGTTGTTAAGGAATTTGCCTCAGATATTGGTACATTTAAAACTTAGAATAAATATTCCAATTATTCCAATTATAATAGTAAATCATTTTATTTATTATTAGCAAATGTTATCATATTATATATATCTTATTAGTGGATGTGCCTATTATTCTGGCTGATGTAAAAGATGAGGAATCTCTCAAGAAAATGACAGAGCGAGCAAAGATACTTGTCAATTGTTGTGGTCCATACAGATTTTATGGAGAATCCGTTATCAAAACATGCATTGCTACTCGTACTCATTATGTTGATGTCACTGCTGAAGAACAGGTAATTCAATGGTTATACAATAG